AACGTTATTATTAATCTGAATACGGTGTAGTTTCGTTCTAGGGTTCTTTTGGCCAAAGAGAGTGTTCCAACTTCATCTTCGTCTTCGTAAGGTTTATGCAGCAAATAGTAAAACCCTAGAATCCCCCCCACCCTTTGTTCATTTTCAACAAATCAATTCANGCAGCAAATAGTAAAACCCTAGAATCCCCCCCACCCTTTGTTCATTTTCAACAAATCAATTCAGAAAGTCGGAACCTTTAGAGATGGGTAGCTTCAACGGAGACGATTTCAAAGGCCTCCGAATAACCCAACTCGACGATGATGACGACGAAGACGTTAAAGAAGAATCTCCAGTGGAACCAATAAACGTAGATGAATTAGATGATGATGACGAAGACGAGGAAGAGAACGAAAAGCCTGTGATATTGGGTTTCGTCGAGAGTCTCAGGTTCCCATGGTCTAATCTCCGACAACTCTTCCCTAACTTAGCAGGCGGTGTTCCGGTAATAATCCTTTAATATTCGAAACTTAAAGGTTTTTTTTTTTTTTATGTTCTTAGGTTTTGATTCTTGTTGATACAGGCATGGTTGGATCCAGTTAATTTACCGTTAGGGAAGTCTATTCTGTGTGACTTATGTGAAGAGCCTCTGCAATTTGTACTTCAGGTTTGTTTTTCATTACAAAACAATATTTCCTCCAATTGTATTAAGATAGATTCTTTTAGAAGAAAAAAATATCACAAAGATTTTTTATGTTTACTACTCTCTCAGTTTCAATTTAGTTTTCATTGTAGACTAAAATTTTAAAATAAATGTCATTTTATACTTTCAATATGCAATATTTTTTTACTTATCTACTATTATATTTTTCTATTGGTTGAAATGTGATTAGTTAAATAGATAATTGTGTTTTTTTAGAAAATTTGCAAAATTAAATGCTTTTAATTTGTGTGTAAAAACCCAAAACGGCAAGTAAATTGAAACGGAATGAGTATAAAAAAATGTAGATATGAAGAAAATTAATTGAGGTTATTGAATTACTGTTGGTTAAAAGTTATTGAAAATTGTGAAAAATGATGAATTTACAATAGTGATTTAATGTGTTTTTCAATGTATGAAAACACTAGAAAAGGAATATTGTAAATCTTGTAAGTACCGTAGGTAGTATTTTGTTTATATGTTGCTTGGTTGGAGAGTGTTACATGGGATTACGTTGTAGGCTCAGAAAGGCCCATTTATATATTACTTAAAAAACATTATTATTAATCTGAATACGGTGTAGTTTCGTTCTAGGGTTCTTTTGGCCAAAGAGAGTGTTCCAACTTCATCTTCGTCTTCGTAAGGTTTATGCAGCAAATAGTAAAACCCTAGAATCCCCCCCCCCCACCCTTTGTTCATTTTCAACAAATCAATTCAGAAAGTCGGAACCTTTAGAGATGGGTAGCTTCAACGGAGACAATTTCAAAGGCCTCCGAATAACCCAACTCGACGATGATGACGACTAAGACGTTAAAGAAGAATCTCCAGTGGAACCAATAAACGTAGATGAATTCGATGATGATGACGAAGACGAGGAAGAGAACGAAGAGCCTGTGATATTGGGTTTCGTCGAGAGTCTCAGGTTCCCATGGTCTAATCTCCGACAACTCTTCCCTAACTTAGCAGGCGGTGTTCCGGTAATAATCCTTTAATATTCGAAACTTAAAGGTTTTATTTTTTTTTATGTTCTTAGGTTTTGATTCTTGTTGATACAGACATGGTTGGATCCAGTTAATTTACCGCCAGGGAAGTCTATTTTGTGTGACTTATGTGAAGAGACTCTGCAATTTGTACTTCAGGTTTGTTTTTCATTACAAAACTATATTTCCTCCAATTGTATTAAGATAGATTCTTTTAGAAGAAAAAAATATCACAAAGATTTTTTATGTTTACTACTCTCTCAGTTTCAATTTAGTTTTCATTGTAGACTAAAATTTTAAAATAAATGTCATTTTATACTTTCAGTATGCAATATTTTTTTACTTATCTCCTATTATATTTTTCTATTGGTTGAAATGTGATTTAGTTAAATAGATAATTGTGTTTTTTTAGAAAATTTGCAAAATTAAATGCTTTTAATTTGTGTGTAAAAACCCAAAACGGCAAGTAAATTGAAACGGAATGAGTATAAAAAAATGTAGATATGAAGAAAATTAATTGAGGATATTGAATTACTGTTGGTTAAAAGTTATTGAAAATTGTGAAAAAATGATGAATTTACAATAGTGATTTAATGTGTTTTTCAATGTATGAAAACAATAGAAAAGGAATATTGTAAATCTTGTAAGTACCGTAGGTAGTATTTTGTTTATATGTTGCTTGGTTGGAGAGTGTTATATGGGCTTACGTTGTAGGCTCAGAAAGGCCCATTTATATATTACTTAAAAAACGTTATTATTAATCTGAATACGGTGTAGTTTCGTTCTAGGGTTCTTTTGGCCAAAGAGAGTGTTCCAACTTCATCTTCGTCTTCGTAAGGTTTATGCAGCAAATAGTAAAACCCTAGAATCCCCCCCACCCTTTGTTCATTTTCAACAAATCAATTCANGCAGCAAATAGTAAAACCCTAGAATCCCCCCCACCCTTTGTTCATTTTCAACAAATCAATTCAGAAAGTCGGAACCTTTAGAGATGGGTAGCTTCAACGGAGACGATTTCAAAGGCCTCCGAATAACCCAACTCGACGATGATGACGACGAAGACGTTAAAGAAGAATCTCCAGTGGAACCAATAAACGTAGATGAATTCGATGATGATGACGAAGACGAGGAAGAGAACGAAGAGCCTGTGATATTGGGTTTCGTCGAGAGTCCCAGGTTCCCATGGTCTAATCTCCGACAACTCTTCCCTAACTTAGTAGGCGGTGTTCCGGTAATAATCCTTTAATATTCGAAATTTAAAGGTTTTATTTTTTTTTTATGTTCTTAGGTTTTGATTCTTGTTGATACAGGCATGGTTGGATCCAGTTAATTTACCGTCAAGGAAGTCTATTCTGTGTGACTTATGTGAAGAGCCTCTGCAATTTGTACTTCAGGTTTGTTTTTCATTACAAAACTATATTTTCTCCAATTGTATTAAGATAGATTCTTTTAGAAGAAAAAAATATCACAAAGATTTTTTATGTTTACTACTCTCTCAGTTTCAGTTTAGTTGTCATTGTAGACTAAAATTTTAAAATAAATGTCATTTTATACTTTCAATATGCAATATTTTTTTTACTTATCTCCTATTATATTTTTCTATTGGTTGAAATGTGATTAGTTAAATAGATAATTGTGTTTTTTTTAGAAAATTTGCAAAATTAAATGCTTTTAATTTGTGTGTAAAAACCCAAAACGGCAAGTAAATTGAAACGGAATGAGTATAAAAAAATGTAGATATGAAGAAAATTAATTGAGGTTATTGAATTACTGTTGGTTAAAAGTTATTGAAAAATGATGAATTTACAATAGTGATTTAATGTGTTTTTCAATGTATGAAAACACTAGAAAAGGAATATTGTAAATCTTGTAAGTACCGTAGGTAGTATTTTGTTTATATGTTGCTTGGTCGGGGTTTATTTACGGGGTTTGAGGACAATATTGCAGCTTTATGCTCCGTTAACGGACAAGGAATCAGCTTTTCACCGGACGTTGTTTCTCTTCATGTGTCCATCTATGTCTTGTCTCCTCCGTGATCAACATGAACAATGGAAACGTTCCCCTGAGAAAATTATGCGGAGGTAGAAGAAAGTAACACTCTTTTATTACATATCTTATCTTTGTTTGTTTGTTTGTTTATATTTTGTTTGTTTGTTTATGAAGTGTGAAGGTGTTTCGTTGCCAATTGCCTCGTGTTAATCCGTTTTACTCGAGTGAGGCTCCGAAACACGATGGAACAGACAAACCCTTGGGACCTGGAGGTAAATTTATGATTTAATTGATAAATGGTTTTGAATCAGTTCAGAATTTGATTATGTTTTAGCTCCACTTTGCACTTGGTGTGGAACATGGAAGGAGATAAAGTATGTGGCGGCTGCAAGACTGCTCGATATTGTTCACCAAAACACCAGGTGTGTGAGTCTGAACTGTTTGTTAGTATTGTTTTGCTAGCATCCATTTTTTTAATATAGACAGAGGGTGACAGATATTAACAGTTTGTAAGTTGAGTGGTTAAAACATTAAAAAATAACTGAGTAGTTTTTTTCCGATTTTTATCACTAAAATCTTTTTAACAATCTTGTTGTTTGGAATCTCCAGTCCTTGCATTGGCACAGAGCTCATAAAACCGAATGTCAAAAGCTTCGTGCTGTTCAAGAAACATCTGACTCAGTCAAAAATGGTGTTTCTCTTACCCAAGTGCAGAAAGGTTAGCAAAGTACACAAACCTTTCTTGTTTTAGTGAACTTTAATGTAACTACTGACATCAATTTTTTCGGGTTTTGTGCAGCTGCGTGTAAGAATCTATGGAAAGAGTTTGTATTGATCAATGAGGATGAAAGTGAGTATGATACAGATGTTGGGAATGTCCTAAAATCATTTGTACTTACTCTTGTTTAAGTCGAAACGTCGAGATTTGACAATCATATAAAATTAGGTGGTTATAATGTTTTGCTAGAAACCGCTTATAATCTATAGATTGAGAATCTATTACTAATTTTATATGATCCTATAGGGTCACACACCTAAACAAATTGGATCAAAGATATAATGAGT